CACCAAGCCTCCTTCTCCCAGAATTCTCCTCTGTTTTCTCCACCCACCTAAGGGTGGGCCTTATCAAGGGGCCTAGGCAGTTTCTTTATTAATAAGAAATCACTCCCACATCACCCCTGGGCATTTGAGAAAAGAAAAAAAAAAAAGCATTTGTCTTCCTTGTCTGTGTCCCATGCCCATGTGCTTTTTCTGTGCTTCTTCCTTTGCTTGCCACCCACTGCTGCCAGGCCAAGGAACCACAGCCTCATCTGGGACCGAGAGCTGGCATGTAGCAGGGTGAGTGCCAGCTAACAGCAGCAGGCTCAGTGGGAGATCCTCAGTTGAGCCTTCTAATCCCTTACGGAGCCCTCAGGAGCCCCAGACTCCCTGGGCCTGTTGATTAAATTAGGGGTGCTGAGCCAGGGTTTTCCAGGACTAATTACTCCCAGGTTTAAATAAAATCATCGACTATTTGGCTCTTGCCACAGTTTGGTACAGAGACCCAAAGTCTAGCTGGAGCTTCTCTGTCCCTGGAGAGGCACAGAATCCATGGAAGTGTCAGGAAAGGTGGCCTCTGGAAAGTTGCAAAGAGCTGTTAACACCCAGTGTTGGTGAGGGTGCAGAAAACCTGGTAGTCTGTATCCTTTAGATGATCCGCTAGCATCTTTTCATAGTAAAAGCACACAGGCATTTCTGCCTAGCAAGCCAATCTAAGAAGTGGGGGTGGAAGGGGATCTAAGCTCTTGAAGAAATAAAAATCTAGTGCAGAATATTGTTTGAACAGGAATATTTGTGACGGTAACATTTGTAGAGCATCATAAATGAAACAGAAGAAAACAAAACCTCTTGTGTGCATCAGTATAGGTTAAACCAAGAAACAAGCAGTAAACTAGGGTACCCTTCTGCGGAACAGTAGGCAACTGGTTAGAAGAAGGATCTATGTGTGTAGATGTTCATCTACAGATCTGGGTGACGTGAAATACACATCCCACGGAAAAAGTCTAACCCACCCTCATTATGGGTATATGAGAACACAGGTTTATAGGCACACTGTGAAGGGCACACACCCTGTAAACACTGTGAGAGGACCAAAGGTTAAATGTCTCCCTTAGGTCCCCTTGAATCCCTTTATGGGTTTACAAGGATAATTTTGCTTACATTTTTACTGTTGGAAGAAGCATTTTCTATACCTGGCAGGAGTGACTCAGCTGGTCACTCGGTTTGGGACAGTAAGGGTCTGGGCAGAGCCAGGTAGGGTGGAGTGTCCTCGGAAGAGTCACCCATAGGTTGGCAACTTCATTTCAAGGAGCTTGTCCAAGGTATCCTCGGAGAAGGTCACAGAGGGGCACAGAGCTTGAGTAAACCTCTAGGTAGAGGACTTAAAACTGTAGACGGCAGAGGGAAAAACTCCAGCATTTTAAAAGGCAGAATGAGGTTGTCCCTGGAGGTTACTTTGAAGAATACCCCAACAGATAAAGCCTAAACCAAGCAGGAAGACGCTAAATGAAGAACTAGCAATGTGGGCAGGTTGTGGGAAGGTGCAGTCCTGTGGCAGAGTGTGGCTGTGTCCAGCTGGCATTCAGACAACTGAGAAGCAGCCTAAGGGTCATAATGAGAGTAGCATTCTGGGGATACTGAAGTCCAAGTCTCTGGAAGCAAAGCTAAAGATTATTTTCTTCTAGGGTACAAATCTGACTGGAACACCCCCACATAGCTGAAGGACGAAAAACCTCTGTGTGGGGAAGGGTACTGAGAGACTGAACACACACACACACACACACACACACACACACACACACACACACACACTATACCTCCTTGTTCAGGCTGTTTGCTTTGGGAAGTGGGACCAGATTGGCATCCATAGGGCATTACAAATTGCTTGACACCATGACCTAGGAACATGAAGACACTTGGGTTGCAGGGAAGGAGCAAATTGAGGGCCTTTTTATTCAGCCCCCTAAGCTGAGTAACTCATCGCTCTTTTCCTTTTAGTCTGTGGTTACCACTTTGTTCCATGCCAGAGACAAGGGACGAGGGAGAGTGGGACTTGGATGGTGAATTCCCCGTGGTAGGTGTTAGGGAACAAGAGGAAGTGAGCATCTCAGTCTTTCCCTTGAGGGCCCACCAGCTCCGGGTGTTCCAGAAACCCAACCCATCCTAGACCAGATCGGGAGGGGCAACACCAGAGTGGGGAACCTGGCAAATGGTGAAATAGGTGTGAAGGGACGCCGGGGATCTTGGAAGACCTTCCCAGAAGCCTCTGTAGGGATTTAAGGGGCCATCGGGAAAGAGAAAACGGGAAACGCTTTGCTTACTTTCCAGGAGACCAGAGTCCAAGGTTGCAAGTCCAGGCTGTGGGTACTGGGGAGGGGCACTTCAGAGCAAAGATGCAGCGGCCACCTGCACCATAGCCATCCGTAGTGAAAAATCTTTTTAATTGCAGTGAAGGAAAAGCTCTCTGGATTCGCAGGAAGAAAGTATATGTGGTCACTTGTAACATTCGCTTTACCGAGAGTCCTAAGTGAAAGCGAAGGTTTTCACCTCGGCCTCCTTTTCTCCGGTGCAGGCTTTATTTCTCTTGTGTCTAATTCCCCCCATCATGCTCTTTCCTTATTTCACAAATCGCTCCTCGCTCCCTCCTCTCCATTACCCTCACTTTCTGTATCTGCCTTCCCCACCTTTCCAGAAGTTTCCACAGGGTGTCTTTCTCCGGCCTATCTCCTTCTCATTTGTTCTTCCTCCCACCAAGCCCTCAAATTCCTGACTGAGGCTGGAGCTCCAGAAAAGGCCTTTCTCACATTTTCACACCGAGTTGATGCTCTGAGAACTAGCTTGTTTTGAATCTACTTTGCCAAGGATGGATTCAAGTGCTGGAAAAGACGGGCCAGTGGTGGACCGTGTGGAGAGCCTATGAGGATGCTTGCAGGTCAAGCCTAGAGGAGGTCGGTGTGCTGAACTTGGTGCCCACTTGGTCCACTTCACCACAGCGTTAGGAGAGACCCACCCTAGATAGATATACCTCTGCCTTGCTGCTTAAAAACGGTGCCACCAGCCAACGTGATTAAACAGCACTTGATAGTTGGAGACGCGCGGTAATAATCTAAGCAATCACAAACAAAAGAAACGTTCCGCGAGAAGACAGATCCGAAAATCTGAAGACTCGCCTTACGTTCCTAGAGATCTCTCCTAGAGCACATGAGCGTGGTGGTCCCCTGACCGGGTAAGACAGCTTTAAACAGTAAGCCGGTGTTTCCTGTCTCCCCGGGGACCGCTTGGAGTGGGTGCGCCAGAGGGATTAGTGTTGGGGAGCCCTCCGTCTAGAGCAGTTCCACCTGGGGAGTAGTTGGAACCTCACTCAGAGAAAGGGGTTCCTGGAAAGGAACTCTCTTGGGAGAACAAATCTGCCCGCCCCAGGCCGCCCCCCCATCCCTTCTGTGTCTCCTCCCACAGCCTCGCCTACTTAGTCTTCTAGGAGGTGGCTCTAGCGGGAAGCTCGCCGCGGGTGGGGGCGGGGGAGGGGGACGATGGCTGCGGTCCGCCAGTCTGCTTTCCCTCAAAAGCCCACAGAGAACAGGAAGCGGGGTACATTTCCACAAGCTAGGAGCTCAGTGGTGGGCATTGGATCGTCCCCGATTCACAAAGAAAAAAGAATCGTGGTCAGCAAGTCATCCTGACAAAAAGACAGAAACGCAGGAGACCCTCTTTTTTCTCTTTGTACCCTCACCCCACTAAACGGATTGGTATTTGCGACAGGCTTAGTTAGACGTTTTCATTTAAATTCTAGCGGTTGTGCCTAGGTTGGTCATCTGTATACTTAGACTTTTTGAAAATGCCATCGGAATGAAATTATGAAGAAATTCCAACTGTTTTCTAAAATAATGAGCGATCCGGCGCGGGCGAGCACCCCAGCCCAGGCAGCGGGATCTCCTTTGGTTTGGGCTGAGATCCAGGTCGAGGTGGGGAGGAGGGGCTGGGGGTGGGAAGCGTGTGGAACTGTTCCCCAGAGTGGCCCCGCGAGGCGCGTGCGTGAACCAGAGCCCATAATGTATGCTGCCATTAAGAATCCATGCAGCTTCCAACGCTCGGGGCGCAAGGACGCATGTGTTGCTGGAATTCAATCCGTGGGGGGAATGCAGATTGGGCTGCGACCCACTGGGTTTGATTTATGAACTGTTACACTAGTGATTGTTTACACATTGCATTTCAGAGCTTTGGCACACCCTCCCTGCTGCGGGCGGCGGGCTGTGGGTGTGGGAGCCTGCTTCAGCACCGGGATCAGGCTTCATCCTTCCTCCGCCCCTCCACGTACCCTAGGGAGTACCCACGAACTCCCTCCCATCCCTACCTACAGTGAAAGCAGATTTTGATTTCAATGGACCCAATAGCCTATGTGTAGTTCTCCTTCCCCGGTCTACACCACGCATGCAGACCCTGGACCCGGGTCTCCACTGCGGCTGTTTACTAACCTGTAAGCCATGAGGAGCCTATAAATAGGAGGGGTGGAAGTAGATCGACTGGCAGATCAATAGGGCCCCGTCTCCTCACCATTTCAGCTGAGCTGTCTTATTAATTATGAAAGGATTCGCCTGATCCCCGCCTGGGAACGCAGCCTCTCTGCCCCTCTGCAGAGCCCTTAATGGCGGTTCCTTTGCAGCCTGCCTCTCTAGCCACCACAGAGGAAGAGGCGTGTGGCGGTGAGGGCCTGGCCCATGGGTTACAGCTCAGGCTCACCTGGGACCTGAGCAGCGACTGACCGCGGGCATTGTATCTGCCTGTGAAAGCCTACAGTGCACACATAGGAAAGGCCTCTAATTTGAAAACGACTTTTTTCTTTTTGCGTTTTTTTTTTCTTCCAAACATAAGCCTAAACTGGAAGACACAGTCAAGTGTCCTGTTGAGGGTCCCCGTGAAGACAGCAGGTCATCCGACCCCTTTGGTGAACAGGTGAATTTATCACCTAGCACCCATGTGTTTCTCTATTCTGGAAACTCGGCCGAGGAAAAATAAAACGACGCCCCCATTTCAAACAATAACTTTTATTTTATACTTCTCTATACTTTGTAGCAAATTTTTGCTGAATTTAATTTATAATAAACTTTTTAAATTACATCTCTCTCTTTTTTTAAAATCAAGGCTCTTTTATGTCAAAATCTTTTTTTTAACTATGTTTTAGATTTAACATTGATTACCCCCTTGTGATCTATACCGTTGGATATTCAGGTATTACTGTATGTGGAACAGCTAAAACAAGAGAGAGGAGGGAACACAAAGGCGGTGGACCTGAAAGATGCGTCGACAGTAGGTGAAGCCAGCCCCTCAGTGACCAGAGCAGTTCCTTTGACCACCTTTCCCACTCCACCCCGCCTGCTTTCAGCTCGCTCTTAGCCTTAAGATGCAAAAAGCCCACACTGTGTGTTTTTGCTTTTCCTGGAGGAGAAATGTGCAGTGGAAATGATCAAAACAAGGTACTGTAGAAGAAAGACGTGAGCGTGAGTGTTCGCCAGATGCTTCCCACGTGGACACTGCTCTTCTTGCTATGCCTTCCCCCTGGCCTTCTCCTCTCCTCGCTTCCCTATTAGGAGGAGCCCATCATTCTTCATGTTATCAACATGATTAATATAGTAGGTGGCCCAGGGCCATTCCTGAGATTCTTTTGCCAAAAAAAAATAAAAAATAAAATTTAAAAATGGGGGTGAGTTTGCCGTTTTCTTTTTGTGTGTGTGAAGACGGACTAAAGCTGAGGTCCGGTTTTGGCTGTGCTTGCTCGCTCACTGATCGGTAACATTTGGCAAATAAAAATACAAGGAATCAAACAAAATAAAAAAAAAAGAGAAACAGAATTTCCCACAATCCCATATGAGTGTTTTCAACATCACAGAGAATCACAACGTCCTCAGAGAACGAATGGCTCTTCCTCTCGATTTCCGGGAGCATGGAGTGAGTGTGGGTGGGTGCGCCGGGGGTGGGGGTGGGGGGAACCTGGTCCCGCGCTCAGAAGGAAAACCAGGTCGCTAAAGCTGCCGAGAGAGACACCAGGAGCACGGAGAGCGCGGGGAGCAGGGACCCCGCCGCCCCGTTGCCGCTGCCGCAGAGTTCGAATAAGCTGCCTTGGATGTTGAGGTTTTTCGATTCTTTTCTCAGTTTATCCCACATATCTTTCGCCCCTTCCTGGCAATCCGTAAGAGCTGTGACCGTGCAGCTGTGGAAATCCTCCCAGTATCTGGAGAGGAACGGAACAAAAGCAGAAGAAGCAGGATCACTTTGGGCGCTGGAGGACCCCAGATCTGCGCCCCGGGTGACTGCGCCCTTGCCAACCTCCCAGGGAGCTTCCTTCTCCCACCCCCTCCCCCGCTCCCCTTTCCTGGACCTATTTCTCACTAGGTAGCAAACCCCCAGATCTTTGTCTCGTTCCAGAAACCAGGTCCAAGAGTGTGGGCCTTCCCTTTCCCAGTCTGATTTCCCTAGTCCGGTGCCAAGAGGGGACCTGACAGCCAGGAGCCGGGTCGCACCCGCTGCGTGGCGCTGGCACCACGGCCTGTGCAGATTGCTCACCCTCCTCCGGGAAAGCTAAGAAAACAGCACTAAGCCTTGCAAGCTGCGGCCCATTAATGCCTCTTAGCTCGCAAGAAGGGTGACTTGCTCTGAGCCAGGCCCTCCCCTCCAGGCTCCTCACACTCTCCTCCCTCCTCGCCCCTTCTGTTTCCACCTCACCTAGCCGTTGTCCCCCTCGCCTTGTCCCTCCTCTCGCTTCACCCAGCCCCCACACCTTCCTTTTGTTTCCAGTTTCTCCTCATTTCCCCTTTCTTTTTTCCTTCCCACTGTTTTCCCCTCTTCTTTTCTGCTCTCCCCGCTCGCTTCGGTCCCCCGAGGTCATCCCGCCTTTGAACAGTCCCGGAGCTCCAGAGGCGTCTGGGGAACCCACCAGCTCTCTTCTCCATTCCCGGTCGGTGAGTGGTCCAGCTCTTACAAACCCCTGTGCTCTTGGTCTGCGAGCTGGGTGCTTCCTCTAACCTCCTCCCTAGCCTTTTTCATAGGTTTGGATACCAGGAGTTTCGGTCCCACCCCCACCCCCCAGGTTGTAGCACCCACTTGCCTAAAGCGGCCACGACGGACACCTAGGCTGTTCCCTCCCTGACCCTGCTCCGGATCCTCCACCCCGGGTTGGTTCCCAAATCAGCTCAGAAGGAACTCAAGCTCTTCCTCTCCCCCCCCCCCCCCCCCCCCCGCCGC